CAGAAAAGAAGCATAGAACAAACCTTATTTCCATATTCTAATCAAACATTAAGCATGCTTCTATCATACTTAACAATTACATATTCTGAATCCAGAATTCAGGAGCTTCTTATCTTAAATCCATCTCATAAACAAAAAAGTACCTCGCTAATCGAAAAGATTGACTAAGTAATAGACCTATTATTAACAAAATGAATCAAATGCTAGCTGGCTTTAAAACAGACCCAACAAGCTTAGGCAGGCTAGTGAACAGGAGACAGCCAGATTTCATTCCAATTTAGCAAAAATCAATGATTTATTTCTAAGATATCTCTATACCTACTAGAAACAACTAAGAAAGTCTATTTGACAATTAAGAAGAAATCAAAGACCACAGAGACTGCAATAACAAACTAACAAGCAAAAATTTTTGCACCACGCACAAAACTATAAATTGATCCAAGAAATTCAAAAATTGGAAACACCAAGGAAACAAAATTTAGACCCCCACAAACCTGAAGAGAACACCAAGCAAGATTGAGCAAGCTAATGACCCAAAGGCAAACGTAATAGGCGATCATGATGGAAGACCTGGCATGGGAGAGCTTCTGTAAGCTCTTCTTGCCTTGAAACACCAGGTAGAGCACAAAGAGAAGTGAGGAGACGAGAAGAACCAAGTTGTTCCAAACCCCATGGCAGTCAAAGAGCCACCCGTACAGACCTCTCAAGGAAGAAGGTGAAGAAGATGAATTGATGATCTGGGTACCCATAATGGGAAAAGGGGATTCTGCGCTGCTTTGGAAAGATTGCATTGCAGGGTTTAAGATGAGGAAACGTGTGGTAAGTGCATAAAACTGGATTACAAAAGAAACAAAGAAAGAAAATGCCCTAAGTAGAGATTTTCAACACTGGATTGGAATTTGTTGAAAGATTGTTCAACAGATTTGGGGTAGGTCTTCATGTTGAAAGTTCGTTGATCTATCAAAATTGCAGTTTGGTATATTAACTTGGACAAACCCCACATTTTGCTCACTGAACTTTTTTTAACTGGATTTTGGCCCCAAATTTTTCTCAGCCGGCCCTGTTCGCTCCCACCTTGAATGTTTTTCTCTTAGACCCCCTTCATAATTTTTTTAGTGGATCCGTGACAAGTTTTGTAGCCTAAGATAAATAACACATCCAATGAACATAAAAATGATACAAATTTACTTATATACAAGTTTTACATATATTTATATAAAATTATGATTATTTATTTTTTCATTTTAATAATTGAAATTTTTCATGACTTTTTAAATGCAACTCTAAGTGTTAGAGGGGCTAAGGTGAGCTAGCCACAAGTCTATACTCCAAAATAGGAAGGCAACCTAAGCCTCCAAAACTTAGCTCAATGGAATCAAGCTTGTATTTTAAAGTTTATATGATTGTAATTCTTTAAGGCAAGGTCTATTTGGATTGCTTGGGTCTAGAAAAACTTACTCAAAGGGAGAAGCTTTTGGTCCATTAACATTCCTTCTTATGCTTCTTCGGGGTGGAGGAAAATTTTAAAGCTAAGACCATTAGCTAGAAGGCTTATCTAGCACATACCAGGGGATGGATAGAACACTTATCTCTAGATGATAACTGGCATACCTTGGGCCCACTGCTAGAAGTTTATGGGAATTTTATTGTTCATGATGCAAGGATACCCTCCCAAGCTAAACTAGCTAATGTTATAAGTGATTTTGGAATTGACCTCTTGCTAGATCTCCTTAGCTACTAGAAATCTAAATACTTCTTTTTGATATTCATCATAGGGAAGGTGAAAATGATTCAATTATTTGGATGATCTCTGCTTTTGGATCTTTTAAAACTTGTCAAACTTGGCATTGGTTGAGAAACAAACAACCCAAGAGGGCACAACATAAACTTAATTGGTTGCCTCATTCCATCCCTAAACACAGCTTCATAGGTTGGCTAGCCATACTTAACAAATTGACTACGAAAGCTAGATAGAAGCAATGGTCCCCTATTATCTCAAGTACTTGTATCTTATGCAACAATAGTTTAGAAACATCTGAGCACTTATTCTTTAAGTGTAGTTATGTTAATAGAATATGGACACAGATTAGTACCATGATCAATATTCCTTTTGTGGATTCTTGGTAGGATTTATTGCATTGGATGGGGAAAAGGATTAGAAGAAAATCCTTACTTAGTATTTTGATCAAACTCTCATGGAATGCCACAATTTACAACATTTGAATGAAAAGAAACAAAAGGGTTCATCTACATTTCTTTAGAAGTGAGAATACAATCCTTCATGAGATTCAATTTGTAGTCAGAGCTAGAATGCTGGAGTTTGTCCACCTAAGGTCTTCACCTCTTCCCATGGCTATTGCAATTCAATGGAGACTTGGGACAATGGTGAAAGATTAACTTTCTGTGTAACAGTAGTATGTGTACCAGCTACATGTGTATTTTTCAGTCTCCTTTCTCTTGTAGGAGCTCCTATGCTACTTTATGGTATTCAC